AGCGGGAGCGTTGTTGTTGCTGGGGGCGGCGCAGATGAGAGAAAGACTAGCGCGCCAGTCCAAGGTAAAACGGGAGAAAGTCTCGAGCGGGAGCGCTGGTTTTGTTAGGACGGCGGCTTTTGGCGGCGAGCAAGAACACCAGCCCTGAGTAAAAAAGGAGGAAGTCGCGAGCGGGAGCGTTGTTGTTGTTGAGGGGCCTGTTTTGGCGGTCCCCCAAACCGCTCGAGCGTGAGCCTCATGTTCAATGAACATGTAGCTAGCGCCTCGGCGAGAGCGCCAGGGCGCCTGTAAGGGGTCCAACAATAATAATTGTTTAGCAATTAACATTCAAAAGCAACAACAACAACAACAACAACAACAACAACAACAACAATTACTAGCACGTGGGGACACTCCGTTCTCACCAGTGCCAGGGTTTTCATAGGAGGCGGGCAATACCCCCACTTTGTGGGGGGGCCGGTTCAAGCTCTACCAAATTTCCAAACGACTCTTCGCCACCACCCACACCCAGCTTCCCGCCCTATGACGTTCGGACACTTCACTTCGTGGCATGCGGACGACCGTGGCTACTATTCAGGGCCCCGCGGCCGACGACGACGGCGTGCGCGCGCGAAGAAAAAACGAATGTGTCCCGCATGGTATTATTTGACAGGGATGATGGCCCTGGCAGGTGCGCAACCGTTGTTGCAGAAGTTCGAAAAAGTTGCTCGCAAAAGCCCGTTTGACAGAAATGTTTAAAAAGTGTTGGGTTTCCTACAAATCCGCAAGAGCGCGCGGGATGAAATTTTGACACTTTTTTTTGAAAAACCATTGGTTTTTTGATGTTTTTATGTTAAAATCGCTACGAACACTAAGGTTTTGGAAGGATTTCGTCTTGCGCGCGCGAATGTCCACTTTACCTTATTTTTTGCAAGGGATTCCAACAACAACAACAACAACAACAACAATCATTCTAAGACTGCTCGCTCTTACTGGCACGCGTGTCTGGCATTCTGTATACCCCAACCCTCGATACCCGCTCACTTCGTCTTCGATTGCACCCCCTTTCGGGGGGAATCTCTTCCTTGTCAGCCACTGGCTGCAGTGCGAAGAAGTCTCGAGCGAGAGCGTCGTTCCTGAATTCGGGGGCCTCTGGTGACGGGCTCTCGGAAGACATATGGAGAGATATCGAACGGGAGCCCTTGTCGCCGTGTCCGGGCCTCCACCAACTTGCGCGAATTACGGGTAAGTCTAAAGCGAGAGCGCCGTTCCTGAGTTCGGAGGCCTTCTTGGCCAGGGGCTCTCGGAGTAACTTGAGGAAGTATCGAGCAGGAGCCCTTGTCGTCGTGGCTAGGCCGCCGCCAACTTAATTGAATTGCGAGGAATTCTCGAGCGAGGGCGCCGTTCCTGAGTTCCGCGGCCTCTCTGGCCAGTGTGTCTCGGGGTAAAGTGTGAGGGAGTATCGAGCGGGAGCGGAGTCGTTGTGATCGTAGCTGGGCCTCCAAGGGCCCACAATTTAGGCTCAAGCCAACGCACGAGCGGGACCTCGTTTTCAGAGAAAATGTAGCTGGGCGTCGAGGCGAGAGCGCGCGGAACCGTTTCCGGAGATCAACGACCATTTTTTCTTTGGAAATAAGTATACAACAACAATAATAATGAGTTTAAGACTGTTCGCTCATATTTGCTCGCGGACCATTCAACACGTATACCGCAAACCCTCGATACCCGCCCTCTTCGTCTTCAACCGTACCCCCGTGGGGGTATACATCTTTCTTACCCCCGCCCCTCACAAGGCCCAGCACCACCAGTCCCTCTCGGGGCCCCCCACCCCCCGATTCCTGGCCCCGCGCCGACCTCGCCGCCCACCTCGCCCCCCCGACCCCAGAACTTCCCTCCCAGGATCGACACTGACTCCTCGCCTGACCAGACACCCCCACCGCCATCGACCCCCCCTCTCCGTCGACCGACAGACACCCTCTCCCTCTCAGACATGCGCGACGGCCGCACTGCGCGCAGCTCAATCTTTGAGCCTTGCGTTCGCCAACGCCGCAACGTTCGACTCTGCGATCCTGATCTCTGCCTTGCGCTCTCACGCATAGCACGTGTTACACAGCTGGTTTCCTTTAGGTTTCTGCACCGTTCTCCTGCTTAACCACACGCTGAACTTGCGTTACTCTTTGCACCCAATACACCAATAGCCGCGCATGACTCCGTTGGCGCGAACGCAATTGTTGCACTTCCGCTGCATGTCCCCCACACTCCTCAACATCCGATCCGAGAACAAGTTCCTGGACGGCCCTAAGGCCCTCCACGACGGCCCGAAATGGCGCGTCTCGAATGCCTGAGAAGCTCACCCACAGCCTCAGTTTGGGCCGGCGGCAAGGCGGCGCCCTTTAAGTCATTTAGAAACCGAAGCGGACAGAACAGAATTACAGACTCAAGAATATAGCTACCATCGATTAACGGCTCCCCGTCAAACGCAACATGCGCGCCGACGCAAGGCCGTGCGAGACAGAACATTACAAAACAGAGTAAGATAAGCGAACCGATACTACATCACATAAAATTGTTGTGTGCTGATACGCAAAAAACTAAAACAACACATGGCAAACATTGTAACATATCAACCTTCACAGGAGTCACGACGTCACGCTGGCCCCTCGAGAACAGAGCAGAACATAACAAAATATAAATTACGAGGGCAGAACCAAAGATACCATAGCACTGCATGATACAATGGTGATATGAGCATCGCATAAACACACAGCAAGCGCTCCACGTTCACCCCATCACACATTCCAGGCGTTACGACGTCTCGCTGGCCCCGCAATGCCCGAAATTCGTCCAGCAATGTTTTCGTGGGGATCGCTCGAAGAGAAATAACCGCTACTGTTTTGAACATATGACGAGTTCAAAAGGGCCTCCGTTTTGACCAGCCAACCACCTGGGAAGACCCAGTCGACCCCCACCCCGTCGGCCCGAAGCAAGCCTCGCCTGAGACATCCTCACTAAATGGAAATCATGGCCTCCAAGACGGCCAAGATGGCCCAAGATGGCCTCCAAGACGGTCCTAAGACGCCTCCAAGAAGGCCAAGAAGGCCCCAAGACTGCCCAAGATGCCCTCCAGTCGGCCCAAGACGCTCCCAAGACGCCCCAAGAGTGCCCCAAGAGGACCTCCAGGGGACGAAAATTTGCTTTAGGTGTCTCGATGATGTCAGCGTTCTCGCGGTTTCGGGCTTCCGACTCTCCAAGAGGCTCCCAAGAGGCCGGCAAGACGGCCCAAGACGGCCCAAGACAGCCCGATTGGCCCCCAAGACAGCCCCAAGACGGCCCCACAGACCTCCAAGACGGCTCTAAAGCGTCCGAAGAATGACCCACGACTGCCGAAGCTCCTGTCGCACCTCAGACGTGTCGGTAGGGCGGGCCGGGCGTTTATGACCCTGAAGGTTGCCGCGCCGCGCATGCTCGTCTTAAACGTCTGCAGCAGCTGCAAAGATGAAGGGTGGATTCGTTCAAAAGGTGGTTTTCGCAGTAGCGTCGCGCACAATCCTTCTAAAATCCTTTAACAGTTTCAAGGGCTCCCACAGTAATGATCATCTGGCACGGTTTATGGACGTCAGAGCGCAGCAATCACGTTGATTCGCTGCGTTGAAATCACAGGACTCCGTCCTGGCGCGATTTAGGATTGTCGGGACGCAATGCCAGTCACGTCGATTCCCAGCGTTGAAGTCCCAGGAATGGTGTCTTTGCGCGATGGAGGATTCTGACGGCTGCCTTTCAATGGGGCACTTCCCACCATGAAAACAAACTATTGCAGGGACCTCTGAAGAGGGAAATTGGAGAGAGGTTATTGCAATGTTGCTGATGCGTCCTGTGTTTACACGGGTCCTCCTCCTCCGCATCCTTCGTCTCCTCCCTCTCCTCCTCCTCCTTTCTCTTGCTCTCCCAAGGGTTCCTCCAAGGGGTTGAACAACGACTGCGGGGGGACTTCGGCCCAACGTTTGGCAAGATAGGCGCTTTCCAACAGGCAGGGGGCAGCGGTGGTTCGCCGCAGGCGTCTTCGAGACAAGCACAATGCAGAAGGCTGTGCCACGAGAAGTTGTTCCTCGTCACGACAATTCCCTGAGAAGGGTGGGCTGGTGGGGATGCGCGAAGCGTCCAAAATTGGGCTGTGCAGGTGGACAGGATGAAGAGTAGCCGCGGAGGAAAATGGGGGAGACCCGCTGCGACGTCTGGCACAGCCACCCCATAGGCAGAGGGAGTTCGTCACATGATGCGAAATTCACCCCTCCCCACCGAATCCCCCTCCTCTTCATTACAGTCGGCCCGTATCATGAGGATGCGCGACAAGGATGCAAGTTCTAGGGCGCCCATCTCGAAGCTTTTCGAGCGGGGCGCGGCCACCGAAAGTGGCCAAGGATAGACCGAGGAGGCAAGGATGCAAGAATACCCTTGAGAAGTTGCCCGTCCTTGCCATGCGGGTTGACTGCATCCATATTCAACACTCCTCGAGAGTTCCTCGAGATTCCAGGGCACGACTCCTGGACGGTGGATAAGGATGCAGTCTAGCGGTGGACGTACATCAGCCGCCAATGAGCACGCTTCGATGGTTGACGGTGGCACCGTATGGGCTTTTCTGCGACATCACGCGTGCTACCCAAGGTCGGTGCAGGGCTTCCGCACTTCTGCTGGCCCCCTGGAAAAAATGCGCACGCGAGTATTACTGAGTACACCCTGCGAAATGCTTTAGAAATCATGGGTTAAGAAATTCATAGTCTCAGAATGTGAATAAAAACCCAGAATGTCTATTCAAATCTTAGGATTTGCATTGAAACATTAAGAATACTCGAGACTCTGGCCGAAAACTTAAGTTTTCTTAAGCATCGCCTAAGGTGTACGTAGGAAGACGAGGGGCCTAGGGGCGTTATTGAGACTACACTTCGGTGCAGGATTTCCCCACATCGGGTATCTGCCTCTACTTACAGTTCCGCTCCAAACAACGAGACTGCTCGCACGTGCACTCAACATCTTTGGATGAGTGGGTCGATGCCGCAGTCGCCGCTGTCGCGGGTGGTACACGCTTGATCGACAAGCGGTAGAAAACGTGCCTCCACAATGTCTTGAAGAGCAAAACTATTCATAAACATAAACTCTCGGAGCTCCGCGCGGATTCCTTGGATCGGCGCTGGACCCCCCCTACCTGGCGCGCCGGAGGCGCCGCCAGAGGCGCCGCCAGGGAGAGCCAGCCCCGGCGCCGATTACAGTCGGGGCTTATTGGAGAGGACATGCGAGAGGACACACGATCCTTCCGAGTGCCCCCTGGCCATAAGAATGTAGAAGGCATGGGTCGCACGAATCACGGGACATCAGTGTACCCTTGATTTGGCAAGGTCGACCTACTAATCCGCCTCGACTGTAGAAACATCTGCGCGAACCTCCGACAACTCATGTTGATGCAGCGTTTTCTTCCTCGGGCGTCGGGGGCAGCACGACGCGCTACTCCTGGAACGCAAACTCCTTGTGGAGGCTCAGAAATTGGCACCAACAACCAAAAACAGAGGGGTGCGTCCACAGGGCAGGATGATCCTAGATTTAGGTCGGGCATGTCCTCCTACAGGCGGATTGTTGGAGAAAAGCGTAAAAAGTCCAAAAAAGGCTCAAAAATATGCAGAAATGGTCGAAACATCCTGTTTGACTCTTTTTGAATATGCCTCCTGTAGAGGGACATGCCCGAATTCAGTCTAGATGTTGGTACTGACGGGAATCTTACGGCCACCTACGAAGCCCGAACACGGTGAGGGCGTTGGATACGGAACCATTGGATGAGGAATCCAGGGTCCGGAAGACGGTGAACTCCCATCGCGGATTGACCAGGAATACCACCGCCGCCCTCCTCGGAGAAGGAGCCCTCCAGGGTCTGAAGCCTTCGGGACACATTCCTTAAACAACGCCTCCACTCGCCATCGCTCGGACGTCCATTTCCTGTGCTTTTTTCGGTTTCGTGCGTGGTTTTTTCGCCAAATGATCAAGGATGCTCCTCGATGGTCCTCGCCGAAGGAAAAATGCACACGTCCGAGCGATGCCAAGTCCACCATATTACCACCATCGCCGAGACCAGGATCATCATCCCTCGGGGCAGGCGCACCGCCGATGCTGGTGCTGGTGCCAGCCTCTGGGCCTCCGCTCCTTGCCCCCGAAGCAGACGTCGAGCATGCACTCCTGGGTCGGGAGGCCGCCGTTTGACTGCTGGGTGCAGACCTCGCGCGCCTCCTTCGACTTCTCGTCGGGGCAGTTGTTGAGGTCTGGCCGGTCGACCGGGACCACCGGCGTCTTCGTCTTGAAGAGGAGCTCCTCTTCAGGGACGCCCGTCTTCCCGATGCGCTCCCTGATCGCCGTCCTGTGAGAATCTCGACGCAGAACTTGCCATCGCTGGTGTGTCCGTTCCCTACGCACTGTCTGGTTTCGTGCGCGTGGTTTTCTCAAGATGGCCGGGGATGCTGCGGGGCACCGATAGGGGGGATAGGCATAGGGGGGATGCATCGACCCGGAATCGGCGATACATCGTCGATAGGTCGGCGATAGGCCTCCGATAGTGAATCCGCACCTTCCTGGGCAGGTTGGGGCTATCGGGCCCCTATCGGCGATCAATGGGCGATTGGGGGTCGATGCATCCCCCCCAATGCCTATCCCCCCGTATCGTTGCCACTGAGCTGCTCCAAGATGTCCACATTTTCTGGCGCTAGCCTCGCCGAGAAAAACGCACACAGTCCGAGCGATGCCAAGAGAAGGACATACTAGTTTTAAGTCGGGCGTGTCCCCCTACAGGGGCATTTTCGACGAGAAATTAAAAATGCTCAAAAACTACTCCAAAATGGTCAAACAAATGCCCAAAAAATAGTCCCCAGACTACTGTTTGACTGTTTTCGAATACTCCCCCTGCAGAGGGACAGGCCCGACCTCCTACTGGCACTGTGCGCCCCCCCCCTGGGAGGCGCGGGGCCGAGCCGAACACGACGCGCAGACACCATATAACTAAAGGGGCCCCAGAACACACAAATAAATACACACAAATAAAATGTTCCCCATATTTTCTCATATTTTCTCGGTTTTTGTCTTCCCCCCGAATTCCCATATTTTCGCATATTTTCCTGGGGATCGACGATTAATTGTGTCTGTGTTTTTTCCCCTCCTGGATAACACGCTGCACCGTTCCCCGGGCGGTGAGGCCCGCAAGTAAAACGACGCGAAGATCGGGACAAAATCGGATCGGGATAACTCGAAATCTCTGAGAATCGGCGGGCTTGGAGGATGTGTTGGGCGCCGCGGCCGCTCCAGAGCCTTCCGGAACGCTCTGAGAGCGCTCCGGAACGCTCTGGAGCGATTTATCCCGATCCTGGCCCTGCTTTCGGAGTGGGCCCTGGACACGACGGGGCAATTTTTTTGGTACCGGTTCCGTTTTGCCGTTTTTGCTGCCGGCTCCGACGCCGTTTTTGTTACCGGCTCCGTCGCCGTTTTTGTCACCGGTTCTGGCTCGGGCTCCAATCCTGGAGCCGTTTTTTGCCGTTTCCAGTCGCCGTTTCTTTGCCGATTCTATGTTCAAGAACCTGTTTCGGAAACGGTGAAAAAACGGCCCTGCCGTTTCCGCGGCCCACTAAGGTGAGGCCCAAAGGCGCCCACCACCGCAGACATGCCAGAAGATTTCTGAGCGCGCGCGCGCGTCGCCCATTGGGGGCCGGCGCGCACATACTGTAGGCATGCTTGGGTGCTGCGGGTCCTGGTGTCGTCCGAGGGATCCCCGTTGAAGTTGCCGCAGTGGCCGTCCTGTCCGGGCACGGCCGACATCCTGATCCTGACGTTGATGTAGTCGCCCTCCGACGCCTCCGTCCATCGGTTGACCTGCACGCTCACGCCCTCGGGCAGTGTGGCGTGCACGACTTTCATCTGCTTGCCCTCGCGGCCCTTCTGCAGAAGCTCGCCCTGGTCGTCGAGCGTGAGGGAGATGGCCGGATCTGTGCTGCTCCAGGAGTCCGGGAACCCCGTCAGGATGGGAGCGTCATCGAAGGTCGCCGCTGTCGCCGATATGCGGAGGACGTGAGCCTTGCCGTTGCTGTCCTCCAGGAAGGGCCCACCAATTGCTATCTCCTTCGTCACGCTCAGGCCGTGCGTAATCGGTGTTGGCTTGTACCTGGCCTGGATGTGGATCGTGGTTGCTTTGACCGTCCAATACTCACCCGGCGTGTAGAAGCTCGAGTGCTGCCCATCGAATGTTACCACGTGGGGGTCTCCAAACACGTTGCACTCCCCGACAGGAGCCTCCTCTGCCTTTGCGGCGGGGCATCCTCGACCCTGGTAACGGCAGCACCAAGCCTTCTTGCTGGTGGGCCACTTTTCCTCCCAGCGTTCAAAGTCCTCGTAGCAGTCATACGGATTGGAGGTCGTCTTCGGGCACCCTCTGTCCAGGTTCTGGCAGCACCACGCTTTCTTGCCATCCGACCACACTTGCTCAAAGTCCTGGTACGAGGCGAAGCAATCGTACTTCGGAGAGGTGGGCTGCGGGCACCCGCGCCCGAGGTGCTGGCAGCACCACGCTTTCTTGCCCACGTCCCACACAGTCTCCCACTGAT